TTTTCTACGCACTCCGTCGGGAGATTGGAAGTAGTCTTGCGGGTAGTTACTCAGATCGAACTGGGAACCGCATTAGTCAAAAGTGAGCCAGGTGTGGTAGTGGGACAGCTGTTGATGTTCTGGTGTCGTATTGCTTACGGTGTTATTATCAGTTCTTCGCGGGTAGGAGTAGCACTTAGGAGGGAGGATTGGGTTACACAGTTCGCTATGATTACCCTAACCGTACTGATTTTGGTGATCGCCATTTCCTGAAACTTGGCTAGTAGCTGGTCACACTTCTGAGATAATAGGAGCAAGCTTTTGATCAGTGGGATAGATGTGCATTCCACGCACAACCATAGAGAGTCTGGTTTGTTTAATAACTTGGCCTGGCTAGCTTTAACTCGGACGCATCTCGTATGGAAGAACTTGCAACAGTTACGGCACAAAACACCCCACTTAATAAGTTTGGTACATGATCCACATAGGTCTTTACTGTGGCACACTAGGCATCGCGCTTGTTGAGGCGATGTTACGAACCATTTGAATGAGTCACCCTCCATGGTAAAAAGTCGTTCTGTTATTGACGTTGTCGGTAAGGTCATAGTGTTCACGTTGCTGTTGAGTGCCTGCAGACTGTCCTCTCTGGCGTGTCAGTCGAATGTGTCAACTTGAACGTGGGGCAGATTACACGAAAGTGTGATTGAGAATTTTCGTGCTCAGGCTTATGGATTGCGCCTGGTGAATTTGCTTTAGACCTGTAACTGCACCAAGCAATTTTTGATTTGAACGAGTGACAGTTGGTTCGAAAGCCTTTGTAATGTTCTATCGAGTGAGACGAAACAATGACTCCGATGGTTGGAGTTTGGCAACTTTGAGCGCTGGGATATCGACGAAACACTGCCCGGAATTTAGAATTGAGGGTAGGTGCATTGCTTGCTGAAATTCGTAAAAGTTGCCGAAGTGAATTGCATAATCTCGTTCGTTACAATTTTCTTTGGACAGCCGAAGCTGCTGAAGACTTGGTGCCGTCTGGATATAGTAACATTTGCTGTTGTGATATCTAGAAGAAACACTTCAGGTCATTTGTTGTAGGAGTCCATATGATGAGGAAACTTCGGCTTTTGATCGGTCCTGATAAATCGACATGTGTACAGCACCATGGTTGCTTAGCTTTTGGTCATGATTTGTGCTTCGCTTTTAGTGGTACTTTTAAAACTTTGGCACACCTTTGAGGGCGTTTAGCCAGTTCTTCCAGCTGTTCATCCTTGAAGGGTCAATACGCATAGCTGCGAGGGAGCACCTTCATCTGGTTGATCTCAGAATGCCAGGCATGGCACTGCCGGGTAACGAGTTTCTGCCTGGCCTTGGGAATGAAAATTCTTTCCGAAAATGGGATGAAGTCCACCACTATAAAGAGCGAATATCTCCTCTGGTGAGACGGTTTTAATCTAATGGATGAAGATGAACGTGGGCAATTTGTTCTGGGGAACTGTGTGTCTTTCTTGCGTATTAGAAGCGTTTTGGTTTGTACAGCTTTTGCGGTAAGTTGTAGGTCGTACAATATGTCCCTCAGCAGGAATTTGACGTCAGTTCCGATTTTGACCGAGACAATAATTGAGTCTTTACGTTCTTGCTGATGGGCACCAACCAGGCGTGACAACGCATCCTCTTAGCACATGGAAACTGCTGACCGGTAGTAGGTCTCGAAATCATACCCCATTAACTTGATAGCCCATCGTTATAGCCGGTTGGCTGTGTAGGCGAACCAGAGGAAGTCAGCAAAGACTTATGATCTGTCAAAAGCATGAAGCGACTGCTGTATAGCATCTTGTGGGATTTCTTCACGACAAACGTTATGACCAATGCTCCTTTCTCGGTCCAGCTGCCTTTCCTCTCGGCCTTGTTACGTGCCATGGCGGCATGAGCGATTGCCTTTGAGACTCATCTGAGTACGTATTGGTGATTACTGCACCGATCCCATGGCTTGACGCATCTGTGGTGAGGACGATCCCACTGGAGGGATCGGAATGAGTCGAACACGGTTTTGAAGACAGCATCGTCTTGACACGTTTGAAGGCATTCTGGCATTCTTATGTCCAGTTTCAAGTTTAGCATTTGGCTAGTAGCTTGTTTAGCAAGGCACGCAAGCGGTGTATCGCAGACAAGAATGTGCTGTAGTGACTGATGAGACCACGAATGGAACGCAAGGAGTGTAGGTCGGTTAACTGAAGCATCTTTCTGATGGCTTCTATGTTCACTGAATCTAGCCGATATTCATTCTTTTCAAGAATGAAACCGAGGTATTTGATGATGGGAATGAAAAATAAGCATTTGGCTTCACGGATCCTGAAACCGTGTGACTGGATACAACCAAAGACTCTATCCAGCCGCTTAACTAGTTCTTTCGGTGTTCCAGCAATCGCTATGCTATTGTTCGGCTACTCAGTTGCCACAGAAACTCCCGCGAGTATGATATGCATCAACCGTTGGAAAATGGCTTGCGCCGTTTTTACGCCAAATGACAAACGGTTGTACTGCAATGGCTCTCCATGAGTGTTGATCGCCAGCAACTCTCTCGGGTGTTCGGTAACATCCACTTGGATGTAGGCCTCGAACAAATGGAGCTTAGCAAGGCATTTACCACCATTCAACTATGCATAGGTGTCCTCCAATACGAGTAACGGGCACTGGTGCTCGTCCAGCGCAGCGTTAAGTCCAGAACAAAAATCAGCACAGACGAGTGCCTTGTCATTTTCCTTCTTCACTGCCAATATGGGTGCTACCCATGAACAGTAGTTGACAGGTCTGATGACGTCTGATCGTTCTAGCTGATAGTCTACTTGATTAAAATTTGGCACAGCTGGATACGGTACAGATCTTTTAGTCTTGGCTTGGCTCCAGGGCAAAGATTTGCCTTGAAATTTGTGCAATGGCCGAAACCGTCCTAAAGGATAGAGGCGCATTTTTTGCATCAAAGAAGTTGTTACGTCCGCGAGTGGCTTCATTGATGAATTTGGATTTGTTTGGACTCGAGTACAGATCTGACTCAACGGAAGATCGGGTAGCAGTAACTTTTCAATCCAGTCAAGATCAAGAGGTTTCAACTTCGGCCAGTGTGAAATGTAGTAGGTTTCTGACTCCTCCACGTCTTTGAATTCAATTTTGCGATTAAGTTCGCCGGTCAATTTTAGCACACCACCGGATGCATTGTGGGTCAATTTGTAAAAGTTGAACACATTTCGTTTCTTCATATGGTCACACGTGTTCCTGGAAGTACTCGTAACGTTCGACGTCATGTAGCAATTCAGCTTCGTTGGGACCTCAATGAGTAACAAAATGATAACTTTTCCTCTCGGTGTTGACATGTTTTGAAATGCAGCGAAAATGGCGAGAGCTACTAGGTCATTTCTAAAGTTCTTCTTTTGATAAGACTTCTTCATTTGCTTCGGCCGGAAGTGACTGCGGGATTCCTCTTCATGGACCTGCTTATGACATTTTTTCGGAGAGACGACGTTTGAATGGGCAAAAATGTAAAAATCCCATTCACCGCATTTTCGGTACACTGTGAAAGGTTTGTTCGGAGCGCTTTTGAACGGTTTCCATGGGCTGACAGTCCTGACCATTTTCACGAGGTGCATGGTATCGGATGGTGCGAGGCGATTCTGTTCGATCAAGGCAGTACCGTGTTCCAGGGTGAGCAGGCGTTTGTGTTCGCTTTAAGGGACTTCAGTGTCACATGTGGACCCTGATCAAGCTTGATTTGAAGCCACGTGTGAATTTCCGTATTACAGGTGACTGTAGAAGGCTGGAAAAATGAGGCAATTAAATTGGTCGTCCTGTAAAGAGCATAGCTTGAAACACTCACTCCCGCGGCTAGCCCTACCTGCTAGGGCCCCAAAATCGTCCGTCTCCCATATGACTACTTTAGGCATGGATAGCGGATATTAAACAATGGTACTGCCTCAACATAGGTTTCAATGGGCTGCAACACTGCTACGTCGAACGACAGATCCCTCGGCTCTTTAGGCAGAATTTAGTCAATGAACCTTGAATGTCCATTAATGCCGAGCTTACGGAATAGTATTCGTACCTTCCATGGATCCTATTGACTACTGAAATCCGTCCGTAACATGTGTTCCCAGCACAGGAACCACGCTTTGAGTACGCAAACAATCCTCGTCATAATTGTATTCACTGATGGTCTTTGTGAGATCATCAACGGAATTCGTCTGCGTGTTCCACACCGTTGCTGAAGTTCAGCATATGGCTTGGTTCACTCAGTCAAGGTCAAGCCCCAGAACATTCCAGAAAGTTCGAGCTCGATGTGATAATCAGGAACAACCAATTAATCGTTGGAATAATGGCTCTCACCGGGACTTCTTACCTTCTCTCGGATAGTTATTACTCGTAGTTCATGAGCTAATTACTATTTTCGTTAATTTGGCCTCAAAGTGTAAAAAGGCACATGACAGGGTAACCTGCCTAATTCATGAAACGAAATGCACGCTAGCAAATTGCCAAATGCACCTTAGCATTATAGTCTATACGCTTCGTGAAATACCACATCCGGAACTAGCGAGGTGGTGTCTGGATAACTGAGTTGTGGTAGCACCAATCGATTGTTTTGCGTAGTCAGCTTAGCCAGGTTGATAGGCTTGAAGTTTTAACTGGTGCCAAATTTGTTGCTATCGTAGATGAACTTATATGGGCAGATGCCCAGTGTTCCGTATGTTGTATCGTTCGAAGCCAGCTTGGCAGATTTTAGCGAGCATTGCCTCACCACGTGTAGTGAATGTTCACCACATCTAGAATAATAAGATATAAGTAAAAACAAGGAAAAAATTCAGATCATTATAGCGTGCGGTCCAAATTGACTACCTGCATCATATTAGGCTACCACTGATACCAAAACTTTATCTGAGGCTGTTGAAATGACGGTTGCTGAGCTCAATTCCAAGTGTTTGGCAAGCGGGTGCCTTGTGATTTGTTATTTAATCACCTCTCACCGTTTAACTAAGGCACCAATGGAAACCGGATAGCGATGGAAAGACTCATCACCATACGGTGGTCGGTGGAATCACTGTGAACGGACGTCCATCATACATCGCAAGGACAAGCATCGATGGAGAAATCGTGGTGGGCAGAGTAAGTTGCGCTTTGCAGTTGTGAGATACAGGTCTTAATGAATTTGTTCCAACTTTTAACCTGCTAACGAAGAGGACCGAATGTATGACTGCCTATACAAATTTAACTGTGTTACCCGCGTAACCAATTTTAGTATAACTGCAGTATGCGGTTTCGACGTGGCCTCATCGTGAAATCGTTTTTGATGTCAGGCCGCTTGTACAAACTCCGTTACCATTTACTTTGGTGAGTGATTTAAACTTGCGCTAGAAGGCGTCATACAAAGCTGCGACTTACCGCCGTAAGATGAGTGACTCAGTTGCAATATGCTTCTTAATTAGGATAGCATGCTGCTAGCTAATCAGACTATTAACTCTCACAGTATTCAACGTATCCCTTTTCATGTTTAAAGGACAGCAGTTACTCGTGTTTTAATATCATGCAAGCTACAAGTTACAATCAAAACAATGTGGTATTTTTGCAGTACCCTTTAACAAGCTTTGTACAATTCTCTCTTAGGTCCTTGAAGAGCACGGGTGCGCCTCTTTCCCGTACGGGGGTCGAGAAGTTCGGAAAAGGCACTACGAAGTACTGATTTGGGAGAAGTAGTCCACAATTTCTGGAAACTGAACATGCGTATTTGTTAACTGTGATACGGCCCAAATTTAAAAAAATACAACTAATCTGTTATTTGATACTGTCGCCGACGTTAAACGATATTTTATTTCCGCAGCCTGGATGACGAGCGGTAGGTGATGAAAGACGACTTACGTCCAAATGCGTCTTTGGAAATCACAAGTTGGGAAGGCTACCTAACAAAGTTAACGTCAACAGTAAACGAATAAGGTGGACTACCACAAGCGGAAAACAGTTGCATCTGCGCACAGCGAGTCCTTGATGCGCCATGAAAAGGGTATACAAACCCAAATCGGTGAGCTCCCCTAACTCGCAACATTTTCACAACTCGACCAAATAACTGGTATCTAGAAGGCGAGCAGTAAATATCAAATCGTATGTAAATTCTTGACATTCTACCTAGCATAAAATCCTGCAACCTTCACCACAGCCTACCGTTCACTGCATATGGCTACGGGTTGCGAACTAGGGAACACAAGTTTCTCCACTTCTCTTCAAACAATCGATAGATAGTAGATGCTCTAACTGTCGGTATTTCGGCCGGGTTCCTAGCTAGAGCTTTTGAGAAAATATTGTAACAGGTCCCTTGTGATTGGACCAAGCTTGGAACGTCTGCTTTACAATGGATGGCACTTGCAAATGTGATGAACTGGTCGGCATCTGAACCGGCCAGCTATGGGCACTGGAGTCGCGTGTTGAACAGTGGGGAATTTTGCAAATTTACTGTACGTTTCAAAGCTGAATTTAGGGAGCGCATTGTGTGGTTAGGTTGAGACTCGCAACCTCTATTGAGACCTCGGCTCACTTTGAGGGAAACCTCGGTCATTCCGATCTCGAGGACTGTATCCTGAATGGATATAATCGGTTGTTGCTCTTCCCAACACTGGTGTGTCAGTGAATGAACAAAAGCCGTGACAAAGCGATGTAATCAACCTTGGGGTAGAGAGGAAGTTCTCAGCCGTAAGGCGTAGAATGGTAATCTCCGGACTTTTGTGAAAGCTTATTCTCTATGGTGTGACCAAGATCAACCATAGCTAAGCATGTCAACCAATTACTTTAATGATGTGGAAGAGTGCAATCTCCCGCCATCGATCTTGTGCTCCGGACATCGTTAAAGTAGTCGTCAGTATCCATCTTCCCTGTGCAGTGAAAAGACGACAGCATTGCCTTTTGATACGTTACACGGCAGCTCGTGGGCTTTTATAGCAAGCCTGATTTTGTTCAGAATATTTTACATTCTGAGTGAAAAGGCAGTCGTAGATTGACTGACGTCCAGTAAAATATCATCTGCGTATTACAGCAGGGTTGCCACACCATAGGTTGACATTTGGAAAAGGTAATTTGGAAACAGAGATGGTGTCAGAATAGCTCCATGAAGAACCTCAATGTTTGTGATTAGAGGCGAGTAGGTTCCGTCTGTAAATCGGGTGACCTGAATAGGACCGACAAAATAATCCCTCAGCTCAAGAGCGATGGAAGAATGTATTCCGGCACCGAATATATTTTTCAACAGCAATTCGTTGTTCACTGCCGAATGCGTTGCTGCTGTCCAGAAAACGGACTTGCGTGTACTTGCTTCTGTCATCCAGTGAAGATAGAATCAAGTGCACAAGACAGGCTACTGCGTCCTGGGCTGGCCGATAAAAAGCATACAATGTGAAAATACAAATAAATGTACCACGAATGCTACAGAAGTAGGTCGACGGTTAGACAGCAGATAGTTCGTCGTTGTCTTATACAGATCTATCGCGTAAAGTAATCATGTTGAGCAAAGCGGTGCTAACATGGCGATTAGGTTAACTGTCGTTCGGCCGGAGTAGACAGATCCATTGAACAAATTTCTTTTGTGAGCATAACAAGGGTTCGAATATTCTGCTCGTAATAACTTATGCTGTGGCAAGCATTCGTAGACACAAACATTTGATTCGTTCAAGAGAACCTGTCATACCACAGTAAGCTCATGCGGAAGATTGATTCCATGACCTGGTTCGAATATGTGGGACACAATTCCACCTGCCAACCATCTAGTGCTTTCGCTCGCCAACCATTTAGCATTATGCTCCTTAAGGCCATATGACAGCTGACGAGTCGTTCGACCAATATATGTTGCACCACAAGTACACCCAAATCGACAGTCTGTCCTTGTTGCACATATGAATAATCGGGTTGGTAGCAAATATGCATCGCAGTCCCGCAACTGGAAACATGTTCCTTATCGACTATGTTGATTTTCTTGTCAGTAGCTCGGCAATGTATCACCTTTAAATCTAAGGCGAGAGAAGAGATATTCCCTTCAGCTACTGTTGCAACGCCCTTTGTTAATTGGAACTGTGCATTATGCTGCATGAAACTATCCGGAAAATCGATTTTAATTAGTATTTACTGTAAGGATTATTTCTCATCCTACAGAGCCTCTTCTGAGCAGGACCTTTGTGCTCTCGATGTGCGACAATGTACTTGGTTGCGCTTATATTTAATCGGTACGAAACTATTGTAGTTTTATGTTGATCGGTCGAAATTTCACTTTTGTTGGCCCATCTTAATAGACACTCATTAGTTTGCCTACTGAGGTGTACACCCAGTAATGCGAATTGACCATCTTCTTCAAGTTCGTCGATGAAATTGGTTGCCGAGTGCGCATTATTAAACTCTGCCATTAAATAACTGAACCTATATCTTCATCGGGCACACAAAAGAATTCATCTATTTAGCGATAGTACCGGCAGAAAGAGCAATAGATGAACTGACTGATCTATTTTCTAATTGGGCACGGAAAATATCCGCCAGTACTAGTACGACTGGGGACCCGATTTCGTGTCCGTCATTCTGCCGGTAAAAGATGGCGTTGGAAAGGAATTGCAGGTTGTAAGTACATCTCAACAGTAATTCCTTCAGGCTTTGTAACGGTACACCTATCTGGATACTGTTCTCATGCATGCAGTTATATATGTATTCTATCGTTTTTAGCAGCGGTACATAATGAATAGAGAAATTGCATATATTGAGAATACTCTCTTTTCGGTTATGTTCCCATCTTGCATGTGCTATATGGATGTAAAGCTATCAGGAACAGTATGTCGAGCAATCCGTTTTCTTATGGATTCCAACCTTACTGTTAACCACCTCACGCTCCCATCCCCACAGCTGGATCATATCTGTTACAAAGGTTTTCGCATTTTCGCCGTAAAGTGTCGTCGTACGTCAATAAATTTACATTTCTCGTCTTGGTTTGACAAGCTCCATCTACTGAAAGCATTTCATCTGAAATGCTTCTAGCAGATTGTTTCTACCGCGTTCACACATTAAAGTAATTTTTGCCCTCACTAACTCGCACAAGTTCACGCAGTAACAATCACCCATTCAGGATGTTTACCTCTTTTTATATGAGTCCCTCTTATTACAATCAAACTTTTATTTGTCTGATTTCATCACTTTGGTTGACTATTACAGAACAAACTACGCTTCCATTGTGAAAGCTTCTCGGGGAAGCAGCCGTCAACTTTCGCCGCTCCATATTTCAGTTGGTGGGATCAGTCAACCTGTCCGGCACGACTACGGTCTACAAGAGCCACCCTCCTCACGGTAGCAGGACACAAGGACACAACATACAAATCACGATGAGTCAGTCATCCGACTTTGACGTGAGGATCGGCGACCGAATGCTAGCCGACAGCGAGAAGCTGATAACCCGCAAAGCAAGCAACGACCATCCGGCAACGATGGCCAAAACGCCACTAAACGGAAACGAAGTCTTAGCTGCTAAACATGCGTTAAGTATGGGCCATAGTTTCCACTTTACTAGCTGTTACTCTTCCAAGTAAGTCAGGGTCTATAGAACCGAAGTAAAGAAATACAGCACTGCGCTGTCCTCACTTTTGTTCTGTTCTGCGTTTACGACGGTTCCACTTGTAAACTGTACACAGCAATAGCGTAGAGGTAAAGCAGTTTAGTCTCCGAAAAGGAACATCCTATAGATGCACCAAATTGTTTCGCTCGAGGTGATAATAACATGGCTTGCAGCCAATCCGTCTTCCCAGATTTCTATCTCAAAACCAAGAAAAAGCACCATAAGTTCCTACGGATTTGCAGTACCAGAAACCATGGGAAACACTATCTAACTTGTCGCCGCGAATGAACGAAATATGCCGCCTTTGGCCACACATCCTTTTATCCAACAAATCGAGTGATGTAATATAAGTAACACATAAACTACCATATGACCGACAAAAGCAGAAACACTAAACGCCGATCCACGGATGCAAGCGTCACTGCTCGATATAATCAGATTGCGACTTTAGGGGCTTCACCCTCTGCAGCCACACGCGGATCAGGGGTCAGGTGTACTCTGCAGAGGCTTCACGGAAAGCCCCGATAGCGGTCCCTCTCACAGCACCGAAGAGGTGACGGAATCACAGGGCACTGACAATCAGAAGTAACAATGTTCCTTAATCCAGGGCAAATTCCTTAGGAGGTAACAAGCAGGATGGTTTGAACCAGTGAAATTCACTTTTTGATGGAATCGGAGTTCGGTCCAGGCCAAATAATTTGTCAGGAATCACTAGACATCAAACTTCGACACACTACCTCGAGTCCCGGCTAATACGAATAATCTTGGGATCCCCAAACGAGGTAAAGTTGGTGCTTTTATTGACCTATTGGCTGCGGACTAAAGACAGTGGGATGCGCATGTTCCCGGACGTTCCATGGAGCGGACACCAGCGGAACATGGATAATTCAAAGGACTACGACTACATGGAGAGTAGCAGAAGAATCGTGTTCGTTCACGGCGTGCTCCAACTACCGGCATCTAGTGACGAAAAGACTCGTGCTCATGATTTAGAAGTATTGTGGTACCTCAGTGTAGCTCTCTGTGCCAGCGACATTATACTTCTGTCGAATACACGGTTAACCGTGTCGCCTCATTAAAACAAAGAGTGACCCGAGGATACTGAAACCAGTGGTTCAGTTACAAC